CCTATAACCAGTTCGTGGTGGTAATTAGCCGATGATAAAGAGCCATGATGCGAATCAGAAAATATTTGGAACACGTCATCACGAAGCAGGAAGGGGCAGCCGGACACTAAGCCGCGGTTTGATCAAGTTTCTCAGAGGAACGTTAGGACCATCCCAGATCGAAGGACAGGGGGTACCGCAACTGACATATGTACGAACGAACGAGGCGTTCAGGGGATTATGCAGTCAAGCCAATGGCAGAACATGTTACTCCGGTTTGTGCGATCTCGGGCAAATGCATGGCTCAAAAGAGTCTCAAAAGATCTTGAGCTCAAAAAGTGGGGACATTTGCGTACGGGGCATAAAAGCACGTGTCAAAATATCACTTCGACTCTCTCGAGAGCCTCGCACAAATGACGCTCAAACTGAAAATTCTTACCATCACATTACCTACATACTTGTGTGCACACGAGACATGACGTGGTTTCGGCCCGGTAATTATCCGGCACTGCTTTTCGCCCCTCCGCCACAATGCGCCCTTTTCCAAAAACTCGGATCCATGGCAAAGTTAGAGACCGGTATCTGTCCATCATCCTCCGTTTCGAGCTCCCCCGAAAGGAATAAAGCCAGCCAAGATAGCGAGGTGTATACACGACTACTTATATTCTTACCTGCTCGGCGCAGAACCGGTTGCGACCGTGAGCTTGATGCTTTTTTTTACTGCAAACAATATAAATCATGATTCTCTGACCGAGGACATACACGGGCAGTGCAGATCGAAGCAGATAAGATATTGCAATAATACTACTGATTGAAATCCAAATAATCGCCCACATCGCACATGCTATTTACCCTTCGTATATCCATCTCTTCCTACAATATGAATATCTGATGGCACACCCTCCATGCGTCCCGGACCCTGTTTTTCTAGGAGAACCTCCCCGCCTTTTATAAAGATGACCTCCTTGCAAGTACTATCACAATGAAACTCGCTGATTGTTCCTGCAGGATAGTCGTGGATACTTTGTCGGTTTTTCTCGGTGAACGTCTCTGTGGTGCTCGGAATCCACAGGGATTCCTGGGTAGTATTAGCATCGACTCCGTTTCTTGGATTGCTGGAGTTCCCTTTGTTCCCTTACCAAGGCTGCTTTCGTAGTGCCGCTGGATGTCGCCATCTTTCAGGATGTTCGCGAAGATGACCAAATTAAATAAGATTCACCGAGTCCACGCGCCTTTATATCTATTTCAGACTACTGCGTCCATAGTAATAGACAAAGAAAAGGGTTGGTACTCCAAGTTGAATGCCCAAACATGCTTGATGGGTGGGATGCTGTGAAATTCGCCCAACCAGTCTATGCAGAAAGAGGGGTCAGTACCTCGTGCCACCATGACGGAAGTTTTACCTCAGCAAGCCCAGACCCATCTCTACGAGGAGTTTAGCGCCGCCAGTCACGTTACTCTTCCAACACCTCAAGCAAACGGTCTGAGGACCCATGCACTGCTCGGCGGAGACTTTTTGCACAGGCGATTTCTTGGATTCGATGGTAGCCACCTCAAAACCCGTTGTATTTGCTCATAAATCTAATCAATTATGTATCAAAGTGTATTCTATCTATGGCTCGATTTTTAAGATCCTCCATTGTCGCTTCTTGTGAAAAATATAAAATGAGATCCCTCAGACCGTTTGCTTGAGGAGTTAGAAGAGTAACGCGACTGGCGGCGCTAAACTCCTTGTTACCTCAGGCACTCAGACCCACCCACTAAGCGAACAAAAGAGCTTATGTAATCCACAACCCCGAGGTCATGTCGGTACCATTTGAAGAGTTAACGTAGTCTTTACCTGTCTGCCAACCAACAAGCACATCTATGATTATCTGAAGTCCACTAACGATTGTTGCACTCACACACGGGGTCCTTAGAGAATCATGTGTTTGGCTCCAAGCGTTGGCAGTATGGACACCTTCAAGGACGTCCTGACCGAGAATTGCTGGAATCTCAGACACTACAGCTTGTGCCTGTTGTAGTTCTGGTATTTCTTGTCAGTGACGCCAGATATGTATTCGAATAAAGGTAATGTACCTGTAGGATATGCTGCGGTAACATATCCAAACAATCTCTTCAGGATATCCTCATCAAATCCTGTAATGAATCTGATACAACAGTCCCCGGCAGTTGGTGTCACATATATGTGTACCTTACCGACGGCAAGGGTGGTCAATCGTTGAAATCTACCTCCCTGCGAAATTGAAAACGCCCAGCACTTTTGATCGCGGAGGGAAAGTGTATGCTGCACAGGGGGTTGGAGAAGAGCCCGATATTCTAGTTCCATACAATGAGAAAATGTCCTCATCGTTCACTTGAGAAGACTTACTCTTTGTGAATTCCTCTACTTCAGCATGTTGTACAGCGACAGCTATGTCCTGATTCGCCGCGAGGATAGGTGTCACTTGCAAGGCTACGCCTTTCGCCTGGCGGATGATCTCAGCCAAAAGCTCGCTATCCAGTCGACTTATCGACTTCGTGGTTAGCGTGAGGCCACAAATGATTAGTTCAACGGTGCCGAGCTCTCGGAAGTCCGTTATTCGTGAGGCGGTCAGCCGAGCAACAGACTGCCGAGTACTGCCCTGTTCGGCACCTGATGTATACACTACTCTTATGAATGCTGAAAGTCGACCCAATGCAACGCGTCGAAAACATTCGAAGTTCGGGGAAGTGCAATTGAATACGTCGCTCATCATATCCCTCGCCTTCCACGTCACGACGACTTTCTCTAAATCTCGAATTACGTCATTTCTTGTATTGTTTGGTAGGTTTAAAATATCGGTATTGGCGAGCTGTTCAAGAAGTCCTTTAAGCTGCATGATATCTTAATCGCAAATGGTGGACAGAATGTGGCAGGAGAAGGGGCAGAACGCCCTTCAGTTCAGATTCAGTTCAACTTCCTACTCGACTATTAGTCACTGTCCCGGTGCGGGGTTGTCCGGTGACTGCAGACCATCTACCATCTCCATGTGGTATGTACTCACACAGTCTGGCCACTTGTTCATTATTGGACGCACTTAAGCCTGTCGCTTGCGGCACGCCTCTGTATGCACTTATCCAGTCAGAGTGGGGTTTGTGAGACACACGTGTTAGATTTTACGATGCCCCACTTGAATTACTACCGGGGTTAATCTAGTTATGCAAATGTAGTTGTGCAACACTGTTCTATCCCTGTTGGCCCGCCATTCTATCCCAGTTGGTCTGGCATAAGAGGCCAT